GGAGGGCTGGAGGACGTTCAAGAAAACCAGTCCAGAGAGGCCATGCCAAGAGAAAGAGGGATGTTTGGGCAGCAGCGTTCCCTGCTCTTTGTCCTGACGCAGCTTAGGGGACTCTGAGGTGGAAGGAACTGCCGTGTTCCTGCTTTGATGATCCCTACATGTGCAGACCATAAGAGTCATACATGTCTCTCTCTATCTATGAAAATATCATTTCACAGGGGTTGCTCTGTAAAGAGCATTCCTGAGCTGCTCTAGGGGCAGTCCTGGTGTGGAGAGAGAAGCAAATGGGAGGGGCAGGGGAGGTACTCCCTACCGGTCCTGAGGTCAGTGGCCACGAGCTTTAATGGAACGTACCCTGGATGAGTTCAGAAATTCCTGTCTCATGTTGGCTCCTACTGGGCTATGTAACCTAGAGCAAGTTTCTTCCCTTCTCTCGGAGTCCCAAGGGTGAACTTTGTGGCTCGGCTCTGCGAGCCCTCCATTAGGAGGTTCTACAATACAATCATCATATTATTTCGGAGGCAGGCCCGATCGTCTCCAGGATGATGGAACAGGGGATCTAGGGCATGAACGTCAGAGCAGAGCCCAGTTCAGAGGCACAGAGAAATGGGAGTTCAGGATAGGACACTGTGGCCCTTCTCACATAAGACCTAGGCGTGTGCGTCCACCCTCTTCTGGGTGTGTGACGTCTCACCTCCGTCCACATTTTGCCGAGACAGAAAAGGAACCGTATTCTGTACTCACAGAATCCTCAGTCCATTACTGGAGAAATCTCCCCAGATGAGAGGCAACACAGGCCTCTCCTCAGGCAGGTCTCCTTGGGCACCTCCCCTAACTGATCTCCTCATCAGCGTTGAGGGTAGCCTTGAGTCAAAATCTCGGCCTGGGCCACACAGATTCAAAGAAGTCCTGCATGTCAGGGATTTGTGGGTGCTGCCGCAATAGGGGCACGAGAGATAAACCCCTATAGAGTTCCTGACCACCCACCTAGCAAGCCCTGGCTTAAGCTATTCATTGGACTTCAGAGAGCTTTCCAGACTAGTGGATCTTCTCAGGAAGCACGGCTCATTCAGCTTACTGGCACACACCATTCATCTGGGGGCAGGGGCCAGATCCCATGACCTGCTTTACTTCCCCCTTCGTCAGAAATGCCACGGTTCTGAATCTGTGCTTTGGTTATTCTGTGAATGTGTGATTATCTCCATTTATTGTCCTGTGAGTCTACTCAGCTACTATTGCGTGAGTTCACATGTCCCTGATTCTACGCGCTTGTGTCCAAAGAGAAGGAAGGGAGGCGGATTCTGAGGAATTTTGGAGATCACCCTGTGACTCACCTAGGCCTTGGTGCAAGTCATCGGGCTTCTCCATACTTTAACTTACCAGTCTATAAAATGGGTGGGGCACATCACACCCACCTGTTTGGGTGACATGGACACAGTAGCTCTTGCCAGAGACATTAGGGCTACCTGAAGATGTCAAACCCATGAGTGAGGGCCTTACCTCACAGAGCAGGAAGCGAGCAAACTGGAGCGCATAGATGGCACAAGCTGCCTCACAGACGTGGTTGAGGCGGGATAGGCACTCACCACGTAGAGGCTAGTCTGGACTACACTGGTTGTATAAACACACCCATATACATTCACTTGTTTGGTTAGTATTCTCCAGGTCCTGGTGCATGATGAACATGTCCACAATGACAGTTTCATGGGAATTATAGCCTCATGGGAATAACTCCAGACAGTTAGCATGTGGGAGTAGACATGTTCTTTCCAGGAAGAGAACCTGCAAACATATAATTTCATAGCCACAAGGGCTTGTAGGCTCTGTATTTATGAAGAGTGGAAGTAGTAATGGCCTGGAGACAGGAAAATCTGAATCACATGGCTGAGCAGTGAGAACAGGGCAAAAATTCAGGCCTCCCCATGTGTCCTGAGCTATTTCGTATTTTGTTGACTTGCACTTAAATAGCTGACCTTCTAGGGCATTTTCTTCTCTGTAAATCGGGACAGCCTTACCCTGCATATATAATATAGAGGGATTCTACACAATTGCTTACTTGTTGGGGGACTGAAAGGCATGATTCTTAAGACAACATGGATTTTAACAGCAGAAGCAGCATGTTGTGCTGAACCAGCAATACGATTTAAAGTTCCTTCTGTCTAGGTTTAAGTTCCGATATTCACAACGTCTAGCTATGCCAACTTGGGGATGTTCATTTACCTTTCTGAGCCATGGCTACCATCAACACTAGTTGCCATCAAGACAATTTCCACTCAAGGCAACCCCATGAACTTCAGACTAGACCTGTGCTCTATAATGTGCTCAATGCCCATTCTTTTGGAAGTAGATCACTGAGCCTTTCTTCCAAGTCACTTATAGGTAAACTTGAACCTTCAAATGTTTGGTTAGCTGCTGAAACATTTGGTTAGCTGCTGAGCATGTGTGCCATTTACACTACCCCGGTACTTCTATAACCCAAAATGAGCCCCCTTGCCAGGAAGTCAGTTCTGACTTATGGTAACAAAAGTCAGAAAAAACAAAAAACAAAAAAAAGTAAAAAAAACAAAATACCAAAAACCCAAACTAGTTGTCAGGAAGTCGATCTCACTCATGAGATCTCCTACAGTGAGGCCTGAATTCACTGCGCGAGGCCAGGGAAAGTGTCTAGACCCAACGTGAGGCTGTTTCTTTGCCCTTCCTTTGAAATATATCATACTACAATACCAACTGTGGTGGGATACGTAGAAGAACAGGAAACGGTGGCTTACAGTTATACTTACCCCACCTTCTTGGGAAGAGGGACTGGTGGATATCTTGGAGGAAGATATGAAGCGATACCAGCCCATCGTAGGAATGAATCACACAAGAGAGAAGCCAGATACTTCCCAAATCTAGGAGAACTGCCTCCTCTTGTTTCCTTTAAATTGTCAGAAACAAGTCCTGCATTCTAGTAATGAAGGAAGGGGCTACAAGCTAATGGGAGTTTGCATTCGTTCTGTGTAGGACCCTCGGGGAGCCTTAAAGATGTAGGTCCTGAGGCACTTGAGGATTGATTATGGACAAATGTATAAAATGTGTGGGCACCCTTTACCTGAGAGGCTACAGAAGTTAAGGTAATATCTGGGCCGGATGCGTTGAGAAGGTTGCTGCTTGTAACTTGTGAGAGGCGTAGGCTCCATGCATCCTTTTACAGTGTAGAGAGGACAGAACTAGATAGGTTTGGGTTCAAATGTCAAATTCGCCTGTGATTGTGATGGAGTGGTCTTTGGATTAGGATCTCCCCTCTGCTGGGTTCCTAGCAAGTAAGGTCCAGGAAAGTGAAGGGCAAGGAGGTCTCAGAGTGTGAGAAGGAGGAGAATAAACAGTCGAACACAGAGGCTGGGGTCTCAGCTCATGAAGCCACTGGCCAGCTTCCCATTTAAACTTACATGACCTGAATGGGCCCTTTGGAACAAACCATTTTTGGAGAACCTTGCTGCCCTCCTGAACCAGAAATCATTGAACCAAACCCTTTGTACCCTGCAGACCAGACCAGCACAGGCCGTCGTAGATATCCTCAGTTTAGACTGGAAGCAAGCAGTGTGGCTATGAAACATCGGGGATCTAGCCACTTCTGGAAGCATTCTTGAAGACCCAGGCGACCTAGAAACAGCTTCCTCTGGGGCAGATCACACAGGCATCCTGATGACTTCTAGGAAAAGAAGACTAACTAGTTTCATGAAGAAGGCACTAGGAATCATTTATCTCGTGTTTAGGCCAACTCCATATCAAGCAGAGGCATGCCCCGTCTCTGACGGCAGGGCCAGGCACACTGGGGAAGAATCCTGCCAATGCCATGCCGGGCTGTGCTCTCGTGATCTCTGGCACTTCATCTGGATGCCATTACGTTGCCTCACTGTGGCCCTATAAAAAGGTCTCCCTGGTTGCCAGTTTCTCAGATCACTGGCTTCTCCCAGATTTGCTCCTATCCACAAATAGGGTAAGTCTATACCTGTGAGGGGGATATGGCAACAGACAGCGCCACGGTGAAGATGGGATGGAGCGCTGTGGGAGGAAGGTGCCCCAGGAGTAGGCATTGAGGGCACTTGCTGGGGGAGGCCAACGGCAATAGCGTAGGAAGGGCAACCTAGAATCTGGGAAGAGAGAATGAGGCTTGCTGAGCTATTGGTCCTGCTTGAGAAGGGAGTTTCAGGGGACTGGATCCCCCTGCGCTCTCTCTCTCTCTCTCTCTCTCTCTCTCTCTCTCTCTCTCTCTC